TAAATTTTTTGCGCCAAATTATACGATCAGTTGTATCCATTTCATTTAAATTTCGAGCTTTCATGTCTTGCTCGATTGTTTGCGACCAGGACTTCTTTGGACGGCCTTTGGGACGTGTGCCAAGTACTTCAACATCTGCAAGAGAAGTTATGGCACTGTTTGACATGACCAAACCACTGCAGACGGTGTTGCCGGCAATCGTTTTTTATATCATCAAAACCAGCACGGCGCAGGATTTTGATGTGGTCCTTCAGACTAATTCGTTGCATCCATCGGAGAATTTTCATGTCGGTTCGTTGAAGTTGTTGTTCTACACCATATAACAACACCGGACGTATCACAGATTTATCGTAGTGGTAGTGAGATGTCACGCCGCATCAATATAGAGGCAAGGAGATGCCATTTAGTCCAGGCTGCACGTATGCGTGCTCGAACGGCAGCTTCAGCTTTTCCAGTTCAATCTTGAACATCCCCTAAGTATTCAAACGATGTGACTTTCTCTACCTACCTTAATGGCTTCAAAAACATTGCTATTTGGTATTTGTTGTTGTGGATTGATGCAAGCAGGACAAACAAAATTGGACACTTTAGATAAAGTAGCAATTATTTTTGAACAACGTTTGTGACACCACTGGTTACACTGCTGACACTTGATTGAATTGTTACCTACACCAGCTTTACAAACTGAACAGGGCCATAGTCCAGTAGCTGTGGATTGGATGGGTTCACCAGTGTTCAATGCTTTGGTTTTGCTGATGTTGACTTTGAATCCATGATCGGCGAGTCTGGTGTTCCAATCTTCAAACATCTGTGCTGCATTCTGCTCAGACGTGGCTGTTAAAACGATATCATCAGCATATATTAGATTCCAAATGTCACCAGTGCATATCGGTTTTGTGATTTCTTTCATCACAGTTATAAATAACAGTGGACTGAGAATCGAGCTTTGGTGAACTCCAAAGCCGATGTCAAATTCATTTGTGTTTCCAACTGTTGTGCTGACAAGAGTCTTAGTATTCGTATACATTTCCATCACAAGTCGAACAAGATATTCTGGAATGAGTTGTCGACGTAGACTCCACCTGATTGCTTGATCAAATGCTTTTTCAAGGTCTACAAAATGTGTGATAGTTGTTGATGCTTTGCGAGGTACTTTTCTTGCAGTTGCCGAAGGATGTGAATTGCATCAATTGATTTCTCCGCTAGGAAACCAAATTGATAAATTCCAATTGTGATGCACGACGTTAATTTTCTCTCAATGATTTTCTCGACAATTTTCTGGGAGTGTTCTAACAGACGTATACCCCGATATGATGAACAGTTTAATGGATCAACTTTGCCTTTGTATAGCGGGACTGACATGCTATAGTTCCATTCAGTCGGCATTGAGCAATTTCTCCAGATTTCACGGCAATGTTGTAGTAACGTTTGGATACCTGCAGTACCAGATGCTTTGATAATGTCATTTGTGAGTCCAGAGAGCCCTGCTGCCTTTCCATCCTTCATAGCTTTCAGAGCTTCTGTAAGCTCCTCTACAGTGATGTCTGGAATCGGACCTTCGATGGGTTGAGCGTCAAAGTTGACATTGATGGGATTTGTTTCATTTAACAGATGGTTGAAGTATTCTCTCCACTGTAGCTTGATCTCATCTTGTTCAAGAACCATCTCATTTTTGTCATTTTTGATACATGAGGCACCAACTATTTTTTTTTTCGTACGCTTTGCTTGTTTTGCTGTACGATACAGAGATTTCATTTGTTCACCTTTGCTTTTAGTGAGCCATTCTCTGCACTGATCTGTCCGAGCCAGTGCGACTTGACGTCTTGCATAGTTGTTCTTCTCACGGAAAATTTTATGGTTTTCAACAGACTTTGATTTTTGCCATTGCTTGTACGCAGCTTTCTTTTCAGCTATTGCATTTTGTACACTGTCATTCCACCACCAAGTGTCCCGTTCATGCTGACGATTTTTACCAGTTTTCCCACAAACTGTAGTTGCAGCGTTTATCAAAACGGTTTTGTATGTACTCCAATCTGTACTGGATTGCGATTGGTGGTCTAACTGTGTTGCGACAATGTGTTGAAATTTTTCTCGGTGAATATTGCTTTTCAGCTTCCACGTTTTAGTTCTCCGAGGCATTTGTTTAGACTTATGCTGTGACTGTTCGACAACCAGGTCTGCCACAAGGAGTCTATGTTGGGCGACACATGATTTGTCAGGTATAACTTTGACATTTTTGAAGAGCCTTCGGTGTTGTTGCTTGACAGCGAAGAAATCAATTTGCGTGGCTGATGGGCCATTTTTGTATGTTATGAGATGTTCCAACCTCTTTCTAAAATATACGTTCAGTAAACAAAACCCGTGACTTTCAGCAAACTCAAGGATGCGGTTGTCATCTTCATTCCGTTCTCCATAGCCAAAACCGCCATGTACGTTGTCAAAACCATCTGTTTTCTCCAACGTGGCCATTGCGATCTCAATATCAGATCAGCATATATATATGCTGGTGGAAGACCGAATTCTTGACAATATGTAATAAATTCTACCGATTTATTAGTGTTTATCAACTTATATTCTAATTATTTAATTTGTCTTAGTAAATTTTTATCAACAAAATCGAGTCTGTTTAAAATTGAAGCTTTATTTTTATTAACAAACATTTTATCAAAATTATTTCATAGATTTTTTGCGACGTTAAACCGTCATCGTTAGGGCATTATTTATTAATTTTTTAATTAGTATTATTATAGTTTTAATATTATTAAAAATATATACAAATATCAGTCTATTTGTTATAATGTACATTGTATTAAATATATTTTTAATAATATTAAAACTATGATAAAACTAATTAATGCATTATAATAATATATATAATATAATACAAACACTGATAAATCCGTGGAATTTATTACATACATTATACACATGTGTATATATATTCATATATATATATATATATATATACACATATATACATATATACGAAATCGAAATAAGGCCTTATCTACATGATGAATTCGGATAACAACAGTTTCATTAAATTTTCATGATGAACTTGGATAATTCTATTTTCAACAAATTGAACAATTTCTACAAAATTCTAGTAAGGAAAATTGAAAAGACAAACTTTAAATTGATTAATGCCAACAACTCGGTAGAATTTATACAATGCTGTATAAAATATCGTCTCTTTCCAACATATATGTATGCATACGTGTGTGGTGTATATGTTTGTGTATGCGAGGTATAATTTTGCCAATGGACAATAGGCAGACTTACACACTTGTTCAAAAAATTCTGTTTTCATGTAAGCATGTAAAAATAAACATATAAAATTAAGTGATTAAGAAGCGATTACACCTAAAGATTTTTTCATTAACAGCGAGGCAATAATAAGCCACAGTTTCCAACATAATTATTTATTATTTAATTAAATTATTTAATTGCATATAAATTCCAATAATACAGTAGTTTTAGTATTCACTTTATTTTTATTACACAAACTGTATTTCCTTTGAAATAAACACAAGGTTTTCTTAAACAAATCCAGGGTATATTATTAGTGTATGACATAACAAACAGATGGTCGTTTGATGGCATTGATAGATGGATCAAAGAAATTGAAGAGGTTTGTGTTTGTTTATATAAGATGAATATTATCATCACGGTCGTCAATATCAAATGAATATTATTTTTTCAAGCATGCCCCTGGCGTTCCAAAAATCTTAATTGGCAATCGATGTCATCTGGCCTATAAAAGGGAAGTCAGCGAACTGGTAGCAGAAGAATATGCATTGCGAAATGATATGTCTTTCTTCGAGGTCAGTCCTCTTTGTGATTTCAACGTCATTGAGTCACTCACCGAATTATCCAGAGTTGCTCTCAAGAGAAACGGGATGAGTCAAACTTGGGGTCCAAATAAAGGTTTCATTTAAATGCCATTTAATTAATGTTCATTCACATTTTTCATGCACTAGTTTTCTACATTTTATCAAATGTTGCTCTTCATTGCCCTTTTTTAACTTCGCAATATAATTGAGTATTTCCTCTTTAGTTGTTTGAAGATATTTGCAACACTGTAGCTATTACTTGCTATCATTTACTGGACTTTTAATGCGTCTAAAAAGTTTATTCAAATACGTGATTTATTACAGTGAGAAGTTTACAAGAACTGTCATGTCGAACTATTGCTAGTTATACAAGCATCTACGGGATCGATCAACTACCACTTCCTCCAGCACTCAAGTCACACCTCAGGTCCTATTTCATGATCCATAAAAATCCAAGAACTCAAAGTTTTCATCATCATCCTCGTTTAGCTGATAAGCATCGCAAGCATAAAATAATCAGACCATCGGACACTTCAATTCATTATTATAACAGCTGCTCCATCACTTGATAATTTGTTGTATTACCGAGTTTTCGGTTGTTGAGAGCTCATAATGAGCTCATAATGTACCATATGCATTATTATTAATATTATATATTTTATTTGTACTGTGTTAGTTGAAGTTTAACAAATATTTCTATGATTTTTCTTTTAAGTAAAGTTTGATTCTTGCTATTAAATTGCATTTTTTTTTCAAAAATTCGTAATTTGTGTTAAGTTTGTGCATTGGATTATTATGTTGAATAACATAATGTTAACGCAATATTTTTTATTTAGTCTTCGTTGACTGATGTGATCAATGTGACCGATGTGATGTGATTTTATTTAGTCTTCGTTGATTGATGTGATCAATGTGACTGATGTGATTTTATTTAGTCATCGTTGACTGATATGATCAATGTGACACTGTCAGTCGGATGATTTCATGCTTCAATTTATCTGTATAATCGTTTACGCCATGTTGCTGCACGATGACGACAGTAATTGTTTCTAGGGCGTTGTTTACAATCTCATCGTAAATGTCCTTTTACTCCACAGCTCTAGCATTTTGGCGCATCATAATCCTGACCCTTTTGTTCTAGAACCATCGTTTGACCTTTGACACGAACTTTCATCACAAATTTGGCACAGCATTACGTCAGTCATTGATCCTTGCTTTGTTGACTCGAAAGTAAGACTGTAGGCAATGGCATCTCTGAAGCCGCGTTTGTCCGCTACTATGAGGGTTTGTCTAAGATCTAAATTTCGGACAGCCTTCACAAAGATAACAAAATATTTTGGTTATGTGAAAAATGATAGTTTTTTATAATGTATTTTATTATGAGCACAAGCAAATTTTAAGCAATTAATAAAAATATAGAGAAATCCAAATTAAAAGTTTTAATGCAAATAATAACATAATGCTTAATATACAGGGTGAGCCAAAAGTAGGTGGACAGTAAAAAATATTTATTTAGAGATTATTAAGAAATTAGATTAAATTAAAATAATTGTAGATATAGAATTTTAATTACATAACACAAATAACATAGTTGTAACATTAGTTATAATAGATAATTGTATTAATATAAATAATGCATACATTTATTCCAGTGACTGTTCACCTACTTTTGACTCACTCTGTATAAAAATAGCAAAGAAATCCAAATATATAAACAAAAGATAGTTTTTAATACAAAACAATTAAACATATATATGTTTATATACATATTACATAATATACTTGTAGTCTAAAGTTAATAAACATGGTATTAATATTTTAGTTCAATTAAAATAATAATAGACATGGTATTAATTCCTTCATTTAAATTAATATTTCAATCATCTTTTTCAAGAAGATCAGCATTAGCTTTCAACAATAACAGATTTTCGAATACAGCATTCCCAAGTCTGGTACGTTTCTTTGTGTGTATCAAACCACCATGTGAAAAAAGTCTCAACTGGTGCTGATGAAGGTACTGGTGTATTAAACTTAATAAAAACTTCTTTTATAATAGGATATCTGTCCAGCTCTATTAAATATGTTGCTGCTTCTTCCAAATAAAGAGCACATTGTACTTGAACCTTACTGCTACTGGGCTGATCAACAACCTTTATAAATTCAAAAATTCATCATTGTTTGATATTGTGTGGCTGTATCTATTGAAATTGGGTTTATATTTTTCACATCTCTTTCCATTTGGATACATGCATTAATAAACAATGTACGGCATTTTCAACATGTTGTGGTATCCAACGTAGTTTAAAATAAGGGTGTGCTATTGCAGCAATGATAAAATTATTGGCTGAATGGAATGATTAAATTCAGTAATTTGTCCGAATCGTCTCTCTACACCACATAACAAGGCTTCTGCCATGCCAATGGACGACAGTGTTTCAGAGAACCTGATTGAATTATATCACCAAGTTTTTGTTTGACAGATAAAAGAGTAGGAATCAAGAACCCCATAAAAGCATTGCTTTCAGACTTGTCACCCTGTCCAAAGCAGCAGCAACAGGATGTAACACAGTAATATACTCCGATATGTATTCTAACTCATTATCTTTAAATACTGCTACATTAACTGCCTGACAGATGAATTTTTTATGCCATTTAGCACTAATAATAAATCATACAATGAATTCCACTTTGTTGGACATGGCTTTATTAATCGTTTATGTACAATTTTATCAATAGCATCTGAACTTTTAATTGATCTTGAAGATGTGCTCCACAGTGCTGAACACTTTGCCATTGTTGAATTGTGAAGTTTCTTGAATATTGCATTTTCTTTTAAAGCTTTTTGAGAATCAATCACAGCAATAAGACTAAGAGTGTGACTAGAGCAAGGATAGTGGGGTGTCAAAATTATGTCAACATCAGGGTCTAATATATCAGTCAATCAATTGATTGATTGATAGGGTCTAATTCAGCATCTCTTGCAATGTTTTCAATAGATGCTATCTCGATTTCATCATAGTCTTTCTCAGTATCATCATCATCGTCATCATCAAACCCTTGTTCTAAAACAGATTTTTCTGAAATAGATGCTATGTTCGTATAGCAAATTCCAAATTCACGAAATGCTTTTATAAAGTTTACACCGTTGTCAGTGATACAGCACACAATCTTGGCATCAGCAGATATTGAAAATTTTTTGTAAAGTTTTCCCAATCAAATTGTATGTGTGCATTCCTCGAAGACGACAACAAGACAATGCAGCAGATTTCCTTATCAATTGTGATGAGATCCAATGAACATTTACACCTAAATAACCTTTTCCTGCAGTTGACCATGCGTCAGTTATGCATAAATATTTTTAGAAGCAAGGTGCTGCTTTAACGATAATTTAAGAGTTTTCATCTGTTTCAGTTGCATGTGGAGCCAGACCTAGTAGTATAAATAAAAACAGTAATGAATGCAAGAGTTAGTAAATATAATTGAGAAAAGTCAATCCAAGTCAATTCAAAATCAAGCCAAGAAGGATAAAGTAAAGGACAGTACAGTAAGTAACATTCAAAAGCATTAATGATTAATGTTATGTATTTAAAATTTAAATAATTAAAATAAATAACATGTCTAATTCATACCTGATTATTGTTTTGTATTTGTGTTATTTAATTGGTAAAAGTAATGCTAGGGTTTTTAATTTACATATTTATTTAAATTATTTTAAAATGTAAAGATTAATTCAAATGTAATTAAAATATATAGAAAATTACATAAACCAACATATCACTCACCTGTCACAAGATCTTTAAAGGCTTGGGTTTCAACAATTCTTAATGATTGAAGTCCATTTATTATAAATTTCATAATATAATGAGATCATTAATTTTGTTTTGTAAAGTATGTGGATAGACGAAAGGAAAGTATAGGCATGGTGAGACGTGGTGGTGGGATGAAGATATAAGAAAAGTTTTGGAGATCAAGGAGAGGTTTAGGGTGTGGAAAAGGGACATGACGGGGGAAGCGGAGTTTGAGTATAGGAAGGCTAAGAAGGTTGCAAAACGGGCAGTGGCAACTGCAATGACGAAAGCATCAGATAGGTTAATGAGGAAAATGGAATTTGATGTGAGTTCGAGAAAAATGTTCAATGTAGCAAAGCAGTCAATGAGGGATAGGAAAGATGTTTTATGGAATAGATATGTTTGAGATAGATCTGGCAAGTTGTGCATAGATGAGGAGGAAAAAGTTCAGTTGTGGAAAGCCCATATAGAATGGTTGATGAATGAAGAGAATGAGTGGGATGGAGATGTGGAATCCGCGGTCACACACGGACCCATAGAGAAGGTGACGATGGAGGAAGTAAAGAAAGCAATTAGAGAAATGAAACTAGGTAAGGGGACAGGGGTTTCGGAAGTGGCGGCGGAACATATAAAGACGAGTGGGGTGATAGAAATTGAAGTTATGGTGAGAATTGCTAACAGTATGTTTGAAGATGAAGGTATACCTGAAGATTGGCGACACAAGTGTGTTGGTGCCGTTGTATAAGGGCAAAGGAGATGTGAGAGATTGTGGGTCATATAGGGGTGTGAAATTGCTAGAGCATAGAATGAAGGTAATGGAGAGGGTGCTTGAGAGGAGGTTGAGAAATATGGTGACAGTTAATGAAATGCAGTGTGGGTTTATGCCAAGTAGGGGAACATTGGATGTGTTGTTCAGTGAGAATGTTGCAGGAAAATTATAGAAAGAAGAAACGAAGATTGTACTTGTGTTTTGTGGATCTAGAAAAGGCTTTTAATCGAGTACCGAGGAAGGTCATTGAATGGGTGTTGAGGAAGAAAGAAGTGAATGAGAGACTTGTTAAAGCTGTGATGCAGCTGTATGAAGGGGCGAAGACAAAGGTGAGGGTCGAAAGGGAGATGTCGGACGCTTTTAGTGTTAAGGTAGGAGTGCATCAAGGATCAGTGTTATCACCGTTTTGTTTGCAATTAAGATGGATGTTGTGTGTGGAAACGTAATGGAGGGGTTGTTATTTGAGATTTTGTATGCAGATGATTTAGTCTTGATGGCTGATAGCATGGAAGAATTGCAGTTAAAATTTGACAGATGAAAAAGTGTTATCGAAAAGAAAGAGTTAAAAGGGTTATTGATAAGACGAAGGTATTTGGTGAGTGGGGGAGGTGGGAAGCGAGTGATAAGTAAAATAGACCCCTGTGGAGTATGTGACAGGAGAGTGAAGGCTAACTCGGTGTTGAGTATAGGATGTCAGAAATGGGTGCATAAGAGATGTAGTGGTTTGAGGGGGGCACTGAAAAAGGTGGAAGGCACGTTCAAATGTAAGAAATGTGTTCATGGTGTGATTAATAGGACGGACGCAAGGACGGGGTTGAGCGGTGGTATTGAAAGAGTGGAAAGTTTTGTTTATTTAGGAGTTAAGCTGAACGCAGATGGAGGATGTTTGAGCGCTGTTACGGCAAGAGTTCGTGTGGGATGGATGAAATTTAGGGAACTGGGTGGGGTATTGTGTGGAAAGAAATGGTCAGTAAAGATGAGAGGGAGGGTATATAAAGCATGTGTGAGAGCAGCGATGGTATATGG